GAATCCAAACTAAAATCAAGAAGAGTCGGGATTTTTATTTCTCCTGCAGCTTAGGACAGTTAATGTCCACAAATAGCTGTGCAGGTCCAGTCCTGAGTCTGGAACAACACTGGACATGAAGGACATAGATACCAATGTAGAGCCTGTGGGGGTATGGGGGAAGCTGCCACTAGGGACACAGCAGTGACAGCTAAGGGTGAGAGTTGCAAAGGCTGGGAAAGAAGCAGTGAGGTGTGGTGCTAGCAGGGGGCGCAGCAGGCCCAGGGCTGCATGGTAGAACCCATCTGATAGGAAGGAATGGTGATAAGCCGATACCTAGACTCAAACTCTTCTGCAAGCTCCATGCCAGGCACCTGCTGTGTGCTGCTCCTGGATGCCATGACAGGTATGGTGACCACTATTGAAGTGTAGTTTTTTCATGATATGTATCTTTTATAAACCTTTGGAAGACCTCTCATAGACATGAATTTCAATAGTTTTAGAACTAGAATTAACTCTTTAAGATTTTTATTTTATTTTTATTTGAAAAGCAGATTTTTACAGAGAGAGGAGAAGAGATAGAAAGAAGGTCTTCTATCCACTGGTTCACTCCCTAAATGGCTGCAATGGCCAGAGCTGGGCCAGTCTGTAGCCAGTAGTCAGGAGCTTCCTCTAGGCCTCCCATGTGGGTGTGGGTGAATGGAAGCCTGATGGTGTCAGGTGAATTGTAGGAGTGAGAAGGAAGCAGGAGACAAGCAGGAAACTGACAGCTATGCCAGCAAACAACAAACTTGCCGATACAAAGGTCAAGGATAATTGCAAAAAGTACTGGGAGTTGGGGACTGTAGTGCTTTGAGGGTGACAAACACAAGTTTCCCAGATAGTAGTGGAAGAGCCAAAGCAGATAAAAATGCCAACAAGGACTGAATTATGCAAGGTGGAGAAAGCATAATGCTTGCATAGGCAGAGAGATGGGTCCATGAGGTCAGAAAGGTAGATCTGAGAACAAGGCTAGAAATGGAGATTTGAGAGTGATTCGCATCATCGCTGTGGGCATCAAGTAGCCACCATTTACCGAACACCTGCTGCGTGCCGGGTGCTACATGCTTTGTGATGTGATTTCATCCTTTACACACACTGAAGTCAGCAGGCGTCCCATCATGTAGCAAATGAGGAAAGCGAGAACCAGAGACATCAACACACGGGGCCAAGTTCAGCCAGCCAGAAAGGAGCGGGATATTTTTCCATCTTAACGCCCATTCAAGCTGGGGGGAAATTTTGATCACAGAGGGGCTCTTGAGGTGGGAAGACAACTGGCCTGTAAAATGTATTCAGAGTCATCACAAAGGCTCTGCTCTTAATTAGTTGTTACTGACTGACTACAGGGGCTCCCTTAGTGGTTTCCAACAGGGAAGTCAGGGAAGCCACCAGAAGCGTATGGGGAAATAATTAAACTGTATATGGAGAATGGGAGATGACTCGCGTATGACCCGTCACCAGCACACATTCTGCAGCTGGAATGCAGGATTAAGTTGCTGCATAGAGCCAGGAAAAAAAAAAAAACAAGACAGACAAGGTCATGAGTGCTGCTGGCAGAAATATCAAGAATCACAGAGAATGGAGAGGTTGAGGATGGGCTGTTGGAACTGGCGAGCAGAAGGTTACTGCTGACCAGTGTAAAAGCCATTTCAGCAGCCTTGTGGTAGCAGGAACTGGAAGGGGTTAGGGGTCAGGCCATCTGGGACTTAAGTCAAGGCCGTGGCATCTCGTTGGGTAAGACGGGATAGACAGGAACTAGAAGGAGACTAGGTTATGCAGCAGAGACTGGGCAGTCAAACGGAGCTGTGGTATGGCCGGGGGAGATCTTTATGGCAGGCAGGTGGCAAGGGCATAGTTTGCAAATAAACTCTCTAGTTTATTCTATGTGTACTCACTAAAGAGCTACTTAGTACCAGCCATCGTTTACACATGTGGGATAAAGCAGTAAACCAAAGTCAAGCAAAGTCTCTCGGCCTTTTTGTGCTTTCAAGTCTAGTGGCAGAGTTGATTTGAAGAATTTAACCTCTGGCTTTCTTTCCCACAGCAGGTGAAGAAATATAGACAGTGAGTGTAGCAGGAGATTCCTGTGGTGCCCGGGCATTGAGCCTTCAAGTGGTACCCCACCAGGCCATGGGAATGAACCCCTTTACTTTGCCATTCACACCTCAAGCACTGGATTTCCTATCTGCATACTTTGTTCCCAGTAGCATCCCTTAAGAAAAAAAAAAAAAAAAGTAGTTGGTCCTAAATTTCCCTAGAGGGACACATAAGCAGGGCGAGAAAGAGGCTTGGAGTTCAGTTTCTCATGGTACCTGTGGAAGCTACCAGTTGAAGGGAGACAGAAACTGAGATACAAGGAAGCAGTTAAATGATCAGTTCCTCCTCACTCTTTACACTTCTGCTGGGAGGACAGATCTGCATTGTAGGCCTCCAGGAACATTCTAGAATTCAGCAGAGGACATGAACTCTAATATTCTCTTCCTTTGACTATGATTTCTACTTGAGCAAGATCAGAATGCCTCTGAGGCAAGTATCCATGAGGGCACTTCAAATAGTTTCTGGGGAAAAAAATGGAACTAGGTTGGTGCAAAAACAAACAAAAAGGAGAGAGACAGAGACCTATGTCTGGTTTTCTCATTTTTAAAAGTTCATGGGAGACACAGATCACAAACTAAAGCTATGCATGGATTTCTAAATCACTTTCCATAAAAACAAATGCATCTTTTAACTCTGGGTTGTTAGGTTTTTTTTTTCCCCAGGCGCTTTTGGAACACCCTTGGATGTTTCTTATGAGCATATGAGGTCAGACTTGCACAAATAAGAAACTGACAACTGACCAATTGCTATGGCAGAAAGCATTTTAAAGACAGCCCCCAATGTTCCTATCCCAGGTGGACATATCCTGCATAAGCCACCCCCTGTGAGTGTAGACAGAACTAGTGGGCATCATGGGCATTCACTCTTCGAATAAGGTGACCAATTGGATGACTTTGAGGTCATCCTGGTGGATGTGGCCTCCTCAAGTGAATCCTCTAGGTGCAGTCTTTGGGCACAGCAGTTAAGATGCTCAGGATACTCACAACCCATGTTTTCGTGCGTGGTTCAAGGTCTGGGTCCTCCACTTTTTTTTCTTGTAACATTTCTTTATTTTTATTGGAAAGGCAAAAAGAAGGAGAAACAGAGAGGAAGTTCTTCCATCCACTGGTTCACTCCTCAAGTAGCCACAACAGCCGGCACCTAGCCAAGAGCCAGGAGCTTCTTTTCAGATCTCCCACATGGGTGTAGGGTCCCAAGACTTAGAGCTGTTCTCAACTGCTTTCCAAGGCCACAAGCAAAGAGCTGGATGGGAAGCGGGACCATCGGGATACGAACTGGTCTCCATATGGGATCCTGGCGCATGCAAGTCGAGGACGTTAGCCACTAGGCTACTGCACCAGGGGTCCTCCACTTCTAATGCAGCTTCCTGCTTCTGCATAACCTTGGGAGACAGTAAAGAATGCCTCAAATACTAGTGTTGTTGTCTCCCCAGAAGGAAACCTGGACTGGGTTCCAGGTTCCTAGCTTCATTCAGCCTGAGTCAGCCTGGTTACTGAGGGCATCTGAAGAATGAACATCAGATGGAAACTCCATGTCTTTTTCTGCCCTTCCAATAAAATGAAAATAAATACTTTACAAGGGTTTTAAATGAATCTTTTTAAGATATAAAGGGAGCAGGTGTTTGGCCTAGCACTTAATACACTGGCAGCGTGCCTGGGTGCAACTCAGGCAGCATGACATGCTACTGGCCATTCATTCATCATGGGAGAGGGTTGCAGCTCTTCACTGAGAGGACTTGATGGAGAGGTAGCTACCTTAAGGGAGAGGAGGCCACAGACCTAAGAGTTAGTAAGGAAGGACTCCAGGACAAACTCACCCCATGCCAAAAGCTTTGCTGGGCTCTGACCTGCCTGGGTGAAGTGGCACCACCCAGCCGGCCCACACTCTGCCCTGGTCAGCAAGTTCCCATCATGGAGAACAAAGGCGACCAGAATCATGTAATGGCAGGTCCTGTAGGAACTCCTCCTCCTCAGAGACATGCACCCATCTTTCCACTAAATTCACGTATATTGAGATGGCAGAGACGTTCAAAGCACAGCACTAAACCTTATCCTGCTCCCCCTGGGGAAAAGGAAGGACCCCAGAGTGGTTACGCGGGGAATCAGCTGTACTGGAGGGCCAGCGTTTCTGTGTAATTGTTCATTATCACTTTAAATGGTGCGAGGAAGCAGAAATAGCAGTCACACACTTCCTCAGAGCCATCACCCAGCTCCAGCCATTTTTATTAACGTTATTATAGCACCATCTAACTTAGTCACTTCTTTTGGTAAGGCATTTTAATGCAAAGAGCCACATAACATCTATAAATATATAAATACTTATGTGTGTAATACTGATGCAAGCATTTTATTTATGTAGTTTCGTTTAAATTGAAAGGCAGAAACACACACAGAGAGAGAGAGAGAGGAGAGAGGAGAGAGAGACTCTTCTTGCTGGTTCAATCCTCAAATGCTTAGTTCAGGGACTGAGCCAAGCTGAGACAGGGCGCCCCTAGCGCTCGACCCAGAACTCGCCACGAGGCTGGCAATGATCCCAGCACCGCAATCCTTACCACTTGATTCTAGGGTGCGCCTTAGCAAGAAGCTGGACTCAGAAATGCAGTCAAAGCTCAAACCGTGTGCTGGGATATGGGCTGTAGGCTTCCCAGGTAGCAGCTGGACTGCTGAAGCAAGCAGCTGCCTGAGATAGAAACATTTCAAAATAACCCTCCCCCGCCCCCAGCAGCCATATCCAAGAACCATCAGCAGCTCCTCTGTCCCTTACCCAGGCCTCTGCGTCAGAGAGCCCAGGTGTGTGCTCCTGGGCCCGGCGGAAGTGCAGTCTGGGAGGAAAGGGGTTTATACGGTACCACTCTTCTCTTACCTTGTCTCTGTTCCCTGCTGCAGATTGAAATGCTAGAACACAAGTACGGGGGTCACTTGGTATCCCGGCGCGCCGCCTGCACCATCCAAACCGCCTTCCGCCAATACCAGCTCAGCAAGAACTTCGAGAAGATCCGCAACTCGCTCCTGGAGAGCCGCCTGCCACGGCGCATCTCCCTGCGCAAGGTGCGGGCGCCCACGGCAGAGAGCCTGGCAGCTGAGAAGGCGCTCATGGAGGGCTGCGGCCTCATGGGGCTGCAGCTGGGACGCGCGCCCTCCCTGCCGCCTGGCCTGGCGGGCGCGCTCACCGAGCTGGAGGACTCCTTCAGCGAACAGGTGCAGTCCCTGGCCAAATCCATTGACGATGCGCTCAGCACCTGGAGCCTCAAGACTATGTGCTCTCTGCAGGAGGGCGGCGCGTATCAGATCCACCAGGCTCTGCGCGCTGGCGGGGGTCCTCCTGGCCTGGAAGCGGAGAGCCGGGAGCTCTCAGGAGCCAGCCCAGGGCCCGGCGAGGAGGCCTCTGAGCCTGGGGGTCTGTCCCAGGGCCACAGCAGCACCCTCATGATGGCGTTCCGGGACGTCACGGTGCAGATCGCCAACCAAAACATCTCTGTCTCCTCGTCCACATCCCTGTCGGTGGCCAACTGCCTGGGCACGCAGGCTGCCCCGGCCGCCGCAGAATCCGCAGAGAGGGCAGCCGAGCAGCAGGACGAGGCAGCTGGGCAGGAAGCCCCTGAGGTCCCCCCTGCGGGCCAGGGGGACGCGGGGGAAGCACCCATAGAGGATCTGGGTGCAGATGCAGAGACCAGCGAAGCCCTGGGCGTCAACCAACTGGGGACCGCAGAGGAGACAGTAGCTAGGGCAGAGGTCGAGGCCCAGGAGTTAGAGGAGGAGGAGGCAGAGGCCGCTGGCAGAGGCGCCACCGGGTCTGAGGCCGAGGCTGAGGCTGAAGCCGAGGCGGAGGTCGAGACGGACGTGGGAGACCCCTCGGAGCAGCTGAGCAGCAGCAGCGCGTCCACCAAATCGGCCAAGTCGGGCTCCGAAGCCTCAGCGTCCACCTCCAAAGAAGCACTCCAGGCCATGATCTTGAGCCTGCCGCGATACCACTGCGAAAATCCCGCGAGCTGCAAGTCGCCGACGCTCTCCACTGACACCCTCCGCAAGCGGCTCTACCGCATTGGCCTCAACCTCTTCAACATGTGCGTGGGCCCCGAGGAAGGGCTGGGCACGGGGAACGAGGGCCGAGGGCGGCAGCTGGGCTTGGGAGTGGCTGTTAGGGCTGTGATCAGCCTCCGCCCAGCACGTGTCAGCTGGTTGACTAAGTTATCCCAGCACTCCACAGCCCTCAGGAGCGGTCCCCACCCCAAAAGGAAAAAGTCTTTATTTTTCACCATTTTAAGTTGCTTTTGAGAAGAGTTAGCCAGGAAATCAATACATCCAACACAGATTTTCCCAACTACCCGGGTGCTCCAAAAAGTCTGTGGAAAAGTGTAATGAAAAGAGAATTTCATTTGGCTGCCAAGAAAACCTTTGAACTCCATGCGTCATTTTGTGTGCGTGTGTGGGATGCACTTCCTGTAGCCTTTTGAATATCCCTCATATACACAGATTTGTTCAAGGTTTTTGGCACCAAAATCAACTTCTCTTTAATTTCATTTCTCCATGAACTTCTTAAAATAGCCTGGGGCCACTTTTAAGACTGGTTTTTGAAAAGCAAAATAAAGAAAACCCACAGCTAAGTAAACACAAGTACAGGCAGTGTGAGCACCCAGCAGAAACCAACACTGAGGGGGCTTGCAAAGATGGGGAAGTCGAATTATCTCCAGGGTGGGTGAGATGGGGCACACAGTGCAGGAGAGGCGCAAAACCCCAGCTGAAGAACATGGGGTGAGAGCAGAACAGAGGGAGTGACAGAGGAAGGAGAGTGGGAGGCAGGCAGAGGTAGAGAAAGCATAGAAGCTGAAGGTGGGAGATGAGAGACTGCCAGGGCTCAAGACCCCCGAAATAAATAGACCATTCTGCCACCAGAGCACCAGCACCAAGCATGGAAGCCCATGCGTGAGCGCGCACACACACCACCACCACTGAGAAACACACAAAGCCTAGGCAGGCCTTAGCATCCCCCACTCCCCTTTTGCTTCCAAGCCCCAAGTGGGACATCATTGCAACCCACATGTGCGCTCACTTCTCCCTTTGCCTGAGCCTGCTTGAGTGCCAGGTATTGTAACCATCAAGGAAGAATGAGGCACACCCCCTCTGGGCCCAGGCAGCTCCTCTGCTGGGAGACCCCTGCTGTTCAGAGCTCACCTGATACACAGCACCTGCCAAGTTCTCAACAATAGTTACAGCTGGGTTGATTATTGGTTGGATTGGGTTGGGTTTTTTTTTTTTTCATGTGTTTTCCAGGCAAGAAAATGGGCTCACACAGGTGAACAGGAAACCAGTTCTGTCTGGCTCAATCTGTGGTTTTATTCTTCTACCTCACTCTGGGAGCAAGCCCCTATCCACAGAATCCACTACTACATCTCCCAGAAAGCTCACCTGGACCTCACACTCCCCCGAGCAGTGACTTTCAAACTTTGGGTAACCAGTTTGGTAAAACATCCCCCCGCCCGCAACATGTTGCAGCTGATACTTCCATAAAATACAATAACAACTTTTCCTAAAAAGAACAAAGTGCCATTAAAGCGTTCCCAATACTCACCCTATATTTCCAGCCTTTACCCTTTCCCAGGTGGGTGAGACACAACTCAGCAAACTGCAAGGATCTGCGGAGGCGCTGTGCCCAGCCACCTTATGACACAGCCCCACAGGGTTGAAGAACAAGGAGAAAAGGAGGGCATGGTGGTGGGAGACAGGGATGCCAGAAGGGAGGAGGGGCCACTGGGCGGGTCTGGGAGATGGCAGAGACAGAGCAGGGTCCTCCAGCACCTGACAAGTTCACCCTAAGAGATGACCCCTCCTCCCCTCTCCCCTACCCCTATCCCTCACCGTCCTTGGGGATGGAGCCCTGCAGGTGGCCCTCAGGGAGAGACGCTTGCCTGGGAGACACCTGTGCTGTGGGCAGGATCCTGACAATTCCTGCCAACTTAGCTTGCAAGCATCTGTAGGCACTTTTTCAGGTGGGAAAACCTAGGCTGCTTATTCTCTGCTGTTTCTGCCCACCCCGACCCCACTCCAGAAACCCGGACAAGGGCATCCAGTTCCTGATCTCCCGTGGCTTCATCCCTGACACCCCCATCGGTGTGGCCCATTTCCTCCTACAGCGTAAGGGCCTCAGCCGCCAGATGATTGGAGAGTTCCTGGGCAACAGCAAGAAGCAGTTCAACCGCGACGTGCTGGAGTGAGTGCCCTGCGCCCCTCGGTAACCCCTACCCTATTGTACCTGCCACACAGCCTGTGTGGTCCTCCACACAGTCACTTCTGCCTCCAGTTCTAGCAGCTTCCTGGTGGGCCATGGGGCTAGAATCACGTGGTCTTCAACCAGTCACACCCACAAGATGAGCCTTTGCCTCCCTCTGAGGTCATTGATTGAGTTGTGCTAGGACCCAGCATCATGGACGTACCAAGGAGATTTTATCACAAGAGAAAAGACACCGGAAGGCACTCAGAAAGAACAGGGCTATGCCAGCACTGAGCCCAACTGCCTGGGAAACGCATCTGTATCCCTCCAACCCACCTACCCACTGGTTGCCATGCATCTACCCCACAGAACACTCCCCCACCCACAAGACCCATTTTCATATACCACTGGAAGTCAAACAGAAGCAGGAAAAAGAAGGGGCTAACCAGGGAGGTGTTGGGAAAAGAAAACTTGGTGATCTCATAAAGATAAGTTAACCAGTAAAATCAGAACCACCAAAGAAAATTCTTGTAAAGCCAATTAGAGGGAGGGAGTGTATATGTGAGAGGCGGACCCAAGCAGTGCCCATCACAGCCCTGAATTCACTGATAGGACTGTGTGACGGAGTGCATTTAGGAAGTGAGGGCTTGGGGTGGTCTGAGGGTCCTTAAAGCCCTGGGTGGCCTCAGTTGGACAGAATAAGGTCCTGCATCTGAAAGCCAGTCTTTCCCCGAGCTGGTGGCCAAGGTGCCTGCACAAGGAAAGTAATCAACCAACTGTAATGTGTCACTCTCACCCTCGGGGTCCCCTGTCCCTTCGCCACCATTCTGCCATGGGGGCAGTTCCCTTGGGGTTCTCCAAGGAAACATTGCCAGGGTCCCAGGCATTTAGGGATGCATTCAGGGAGGCAGAAAGAGAGAGAGAGAGAGAGCAGCCTGCTCCACTTCTTTCCCTCCCCTCTCTTCTTGCATGGAGCTCATCCCACTGGCCTCTCCACCTGCCTTTGTCCCCTTTTCACGCCTTCGCCTGGGGAAGCACTGAGCCCTCTCTGCCACACGACACACCAATGGTGTCCCCACTTCGACCCTGCTTCCAAACTAGAGTGAGTCTGCCCCCTACCCCTGCCACTTCTCCAGAGTCCCATGGCGAAACCTGGAACCTGCCAGGTACACATTGAACTGGGTACTGGGAACAGAGATTTTCTGCAGCTCAGGTTCAACTGAGCAGCATGCTGAGAACTAATTAACATCCTCCCTGAGAGATTGAGCACAGCCTGAGCTGGCTACATGGTAGAGGAAAGCATAGCTGGATATGAGGCCATCAACTGATGCAGGGATAAGGGATCGGCTTGGAGTGAGCATCCCAGCAAGCTCTTCCAGGCAGGGAAGGCAATGAGAGGTGAATAGGAGAATGACTGTATCCAAGCAAGAAGGCCCAGATTGGAACCTCATCTCTGCAGCTTTGGTGAGTCACATCTCTTCAAGATCTCGGTCTTCTCATCGATAACCTGAGAGAGTTGGGCAGTGTGATCACAAAGATACCCCAAGTCCCGTGAATCTGTCATCCTTTCTATTCCCTATGCACTTTCAAAATTTGAGAGACAAAAAGGCAAGTGTGGGTTGAGGACTCCTGTCTGCTCATTCACTCCATGAATGCCTGCAACAGTTAGGGCTGGTCCACGCTGACAACCTATTTCTCCCCCTGCGACTGGTAGGGCTCCCAGCAGCTCTGCTGCTGCCTCCCGTGGTGTGCATTAGCAGGAGATTGGAGCCAGGAGTCCAACAGGGGGCCACAGACATCTGAACCACGAGGCCAACCGCTTCTCCTTGGTGGAGGCATATGTGGGTACCATGGAGATTCCTGTGCCCTAAACATTGGTGCCACACTGCACCATTCTGCTGGAGCACCCCAGAGCAGCCCTCGAGCTCCAGGGCAGGGCTGGGTGCCAGGTTCACAGGAGGATGAAATGCCCTTTCACAATTCATTCATACTGAGTGCTTGTCATGTGTGGCCAGTGGGGCTGGGCTGGGTGCCCTGTGGTGTGTACATGGGGATAGGCACGACCAGTGGTCTCCTGGAACATGTAGCGTCTACAGGGTGTCCAGCTCCATCGTGAATTCGGAAAGGGTCTAGTGTGGAACTGAGCTCCACAGCTGTCCCTGGGAGAGACTCCAGCCTTCATGCTTTGTTCTGCAGCCACAAAGGCTGCCACCCCCCAACCCTCCCCACTCTCCAGGCCCTGGCAGGCTCAGCCTCCGCACACTGACTCAGCTCCACAGGAAGGCACAGCTCCCCCAGGCCTGACTGGGTTCACTGTCCACTGACTGCCTTTGTCTTAGGGTAGAGCAGGCTTGTTCCGCAGAGATGTCAGGGGAAGATGGAGATACAGCAAGAGGCACACTCTGGCAGGGCATCCAGATCCTTCAGGATGCACGCTTTGCCCTGTCTCTCCATCAGCTCGCTGTTCCCTCCTCCCAGCAGAGCAAACACACGCATGCAATCACAGAGCCGCCCACTGCCAATTTCCTGGACCTGGAGGGCTTCATTGGGATTCTGCATGGCTTCCCTGGCACACCATTCCGCACCCCCTGGAGGTGGGAGGCTGGTGATATTGGGCAAAGCTGCTTCTGTCCTGTACAAAGCTGTTTGCTGAATAGCAGGGACATCACTTGCCTGTCCCTCATACCACTGCCAAGACAGGGCAGCACTCTCCAGGAAAGGAGGAAGACAAGAAGGGGTGCTCCCACCCCAACTTTGGAGGTGAGGGAAGAAGGAACAGGGGCAGGATCTGCCTTGGCTACTGGGGAGACTGACACCTGCTAACATCTGCCTTCAGAGTCAGGCACTTTTTGCCCGAGGGAGCCACGGGTTCCCGTGTCTCTGGGTCTGTTTGCCGCACAAGACTGGTTGCAGAGGCGGTGGCACCCTGCCTTGCATTGTCAAAGCTCTGAGCTCTCGGCTCCCTGAGCCACACCATGCTTTCCTGCAGAGGTCTGCTGCTAGGCCACCCCTGGCAAGAGGTGATGGTAGTACCCACCACAGCTGAATCAAATGTCGAAAATGCAGGTGAAAGACAGCGCAGGGCTGGTACTTAGGAAGTCACCATCCTCATCAACTATTCCTAGAACCTTTTTAACCTTTTGAAGACACAAGGCATAGAGGCTCCTGCAGCCCATACCCAAGCACATAGACACACACACACCCAAGACTTGGACTTCCCAGTCTACTTTGAGACCCTGGTGGGGCATCCTTGGAGGTCCTACACTAAATGGGAAGTTTGATCCCTGTAGTGAGTGCCAAGGGGAGAGGATCAGGCAACCATGGTTGGAGATCCAGGCAGCAACCAGTTTATCCAGATAAGCTTGGAAGCTTTCCTCTCAGCTCTCATGCAGCTGGGAAATTTGGCCCTGCTCTATTTCCCTTCTGAAATGGCTGCTTCAGCAGGTCAGAGGGCCAGTGGCTGGGCAGATGTTCTTATGGGCCTCAGTGTGTCTTTGTCACATGAGTCACATTCACAGGAAGAACGCCAGTGTCTCCCATGTCCACCATGGAAATACACTCGGGGCAGCTTCCAGGCAGAGCAGCCAGGAGGATGTTTCCCGAGGGATCCCTGCTCCCATCTCACTTACCCCCTCTTTGTTCAAGTCCCAGTCCTGTTAGAGCCTGACCTTTGGTTCAGGATTATATTCCCATGCAAATGTCTTGGCCAGAACGGAACACATCTGCTCTTCTCAGGGGACACTGAGAGATGCAGAATGTCTCAGCAGTTTGGAAGCTCTGGCTTTTCTTCATTAGGGAGAGGTGGTTGGAGCCTATCCAGTTTGTGGTGCCGGTGGGATCTCAGGGGGATCCCAAGCCATAATTATATGGACTTGTCACAAGGAAGAGCAGAGCAGGTGGGCTCATGGGCCGCAGGAGACTGCGGATAAGGAAGGAGGCAAGCCAAAGTTGACAAATATCTCCACTGCCTTCAAAACTTTACACGGCCACAGCTCGCAGCAATGTGGAAGGAGGGGCTCTCCTATTTGGGATCATGACCTTGGCCCTTCACCCCTCTGGTGCCCCATTCCCTCCCAATCCACTACCATAGATCAATGAGAGACTAACAACAGTGAGCTGTCACGAGAGCCAAACATTTGCTTATCTTTACCTGGATATGGATATCTTGGAACCCCACAGAGGAGTTGACCCAGTCCAGGGTTGAGATTTCCTCTGACCAGATCATGCTAGTACACCAACTGGGTTTTTGCACAGGAAAATGAACATCCCTGCCCCCCCCCCCAGCCTCTGCTAAGTTTCCAGGACCAGCTCTGGAGGGGAGGGAAGGAATGGTGGCAGGGGGGGGGTCTCTTTCCATCTCCGTGAAGTGGCACTCCTGGAGGAGGGTTCCCTGGAGGCATCCTGTCATGGGGCTGCAGGGGAGAGCTACTCACAAGCATGCAGACTACAGGTACACCAGTGGCAGCTCGCACCTGCTGAACACCTGAACCTGGCAGCCAGCTCGGAGCAGGCAGGGGGGCCACTCATTCCAGCCTTACAGCCAGAGGACGGTGCTGTTGTTCTGAGCCAAAAGAAGGAACGGAGAGATTAGGCAGCTTGCCCGTGGTCACAGAGATCATCAGAGGCTAAACCTGGAAGCCCACTCCACCCCTGCCAATGTGTGTGCTTCAGCCAAGAACAGAGGTCTTTGTGCATTTATAGTCTTTATCCGTCCTCACTTGGCAAATGACAACCCTAGGAGACCCCATGACCATCAGCTAGGCTAGTTCTCTCATATCTGCTTTCCCGCCCTGGGGAAGAAGCCAAAACCCAGAGGGAGAAAATGAATGAGTTCCTGCAGGTGCAGAGAGGCTGGGCAGAATCAGATACTACCCCATCTTGTGGCTACACTTTGCTGGCCCATGCTCTCTGACCCTCTCAGCTGGAAAGAAAGTTGAGCAAAGATGCTAGGGCGGTGTGCGCCAAATTCTCTTTTCTCTCTCCAGTGTATGTCTGTGTTTAGACAGTGGGTGGCTGTCTAAAGATGTCATTTCAAGCAGAGCTAAGTGGTGGTGAAGGAAAAAGGTGTGGGGTGGGGAGACTAAGAAGTCCCTCACATACCTGCTGTTGCCAGCCCAGACTTGGCATAACAAAAGCCATCACTTATTCAGCCCTGTCACATCCCAGAAACTACATACAAGATGCCTTTAAAAACAGTTAGGGGGTTTGTTCATTTGCTCTTGCTTCTTGGAAACGTAGCATGCCGAGACCAAGAGTGGAGGGAGGAGAGAGACAGGGTCTGCCAACCTATGCCAGTACCTCTGCAAGCTCTGCTCCAAGGGCCCAGGATTGCTCCACCCACAAGGTCTGTCCAAGATGCCCTGGCACTGAGCCTGAGATATGCATGCGTCTGCCAGGGAAATGGCCCAAGATCCAATTCCCTGTCCTCAGCATCCTGTGCGAGTGACTGACACTGAAGACTCTGGCTCAGGAGCTGCTTGGCTCTCCTTGGAAAACCCAGTGGCCCCATGGTTGCTGATGGATATCTTAACAGCCTCCAGGGGCTGTGCCCCTCCCATTCAGTTCAACCCCTGGATTCATATTATAAGAAGCCCCCTGGAGAGCATGGAAGGAATGTTGGTTCCCAAGCCCCCTCCACCCCACCCCAGTATTCGGAGGTGGGCTCCAGTCACATTTCAGTAACCTGCCTTAGACCTCGGGCTCCTGGGCCCAGGTGTGCCCCGGGTATCCCCCCTTGCTGTAGATTGTGGGTGCTGATCTCAATAAGGCTGGTATTCCCACCAAGGCCATGGCTCAGGGTGAGCCAGTGCATTAGTGAGCAAGAACTGGTGGGCTGCTGCTGAGTGAAGCACTGGAAACTGGGCCACTGTGCTTGGCTGAGCAAGTCTGCCCTCACCAGCTGCTGCCTCCTGGGTGCCCCGCCACTGTGGTCCAAGGAAGGAGACAGCCAGAGGCCAGGGCCATGGAGTCAGGAACCCACAGGGGCTGAAGTGATGGCATTGGGTCTTGGGGATCAGCCAAGCAGCAGGCCAGAGAGGCCACCGCCAGACAGGACCTTCCAGGGATCCAGACCTGGAAGTCAGAGGAAGAGCCTGGAGTGAAAGGATGCAATGTGTGCATTCCCTATGCCACACCCACTCCCCACCCACCTGCTCTTTGCCCAGCCCCACCCACCTTCTGTTCCACACCTGGCACCCACCCTGTCTCCCAGGTGTTCTTACCTCCTTATCTCTCTCTCCTCCCCCTTTTCCCAACCCCATTTATTTTCCTATTTCCTCCCTTCCTCCAATTCCTCTCTGTTTTTACTATTTCTTTCACTCTCTCTCTCCTTTTCTCTTTGTCCTCCTTTGCCTCTTTCTCTCTCCCCTCCTGTGTCTTCTCCCTGCCTACGTTACCCTCCTCTACCCCATAATGGCTGACAACCCCTTACCCTGCACTGGGTCCTTCTCCAGGAACTATGCCCCAGTCACCAACAGGTGTCTCAAGCACCAGCCGCAGTCTGCATCACTGTATGGCTGCAGCTGACTCTGTGGCCTTGCAGTGGCCTGAGGCTGTCAGTGTGGTGATATAGCACAGGCATCCCCTTGTACGAGACTCCCTGTATCTGTCCCCTCCTGGCCAGTGACAGGGATAGAGTGCCTCTCCTAGACCCTCTCCCAGGGGTATCCTGTGGCTCGCCAGTGGGAAGGGGGGACTGCAGATGCCCCCTGGTAACCTTTCCTCACACCTGTTCCCAGCTGCGTAGTGGATGAGATGGACTTCTCCAGCATGGAGCTGGACGAGGCCCTGCGGAAGTTCCAGGCTCACATCCGCGTGCAAGGAGAGGCCCAGAAGGTAGAGCGGCTCATCGAGGCCTTCAGGTAAGGCCCCTCTCCTGGGCCCCCTGCTGGGAGGCGCTGGGGAGACAACCCCTCTGAGACAAGCAGAGACAAGGGCCAGAGTCCCCGGAGCTTCCTTGTCACCCTCCCTGAGCACATCTTCACAGAGCATCCATGCAAGGTGGAGCTCCAGGGAGGGCAGAGGACCAGCGCACAGAGCAGGGAGTTGGGATGCCCCCTCCCCAGCCACACACCCCCAACCTTGGCTACCTGGCTGGGATGGGACGAGGCCTCACCGTCTTCGCTGTACGTGTGTCTCCTCAGCCAGCGCTACTGCATGTGCAACCCCGAGGTGGTGCAGCAGTTCCACAACCCTGACACCATCTTCATCCTGGCCTTTGCCATCATCCTCCTCAACACCGACATGTACAGCCCCAACATCAAGCCAGATCGTAAGATGATGCTGGAGGACTTTATCCGGAACCTGCGAGGTGAGAAGGCCACCCACCCTCACCCCTACCTTATATCCCTCCTTGGTCACCCACTCCTGCGACTTAATTGCCCTGTGTGTGTGCCGGGGAGTTTGGGCATTTAAAAACATAAGGCCATACACACATCACTTCATGCACTGGGGCCATTCCCAAAGCTCAACCAAGAGGTGAGCAGCGGTCCCTCTGTTCTCTTCTGCAGAGCACCACCAGATGCAGCCTTTGCGACTGCTCTCTGATCATAGCTAACACGTGCTTCAACTGCTTCCCTCCATCTATTGCTTTGGTTTGCTAGTGTCTGATACACAGGAGGGCACTTAAAAAAAAAAAAAAAGCTTTGTGCTGCAAAAATAGTTTTCAATCTTTATAGACATATTCATGAACTTTTTTTAAAAAAATGATCTCTGAATGGCAGAATGACAGAAAATCTTCAACCCTGATCAACTATGTAAACATCATCTAAAAATTTTTACAAATTAAATAGAATTTAAAAGAGAGAAATCTTTGATCTTCTCTTTCATTTCCCAAATGATTGCAACAGCCAGGCTGAAGCCAGCAGCCAGGAATTCCGTCTGGGTCTCCCACATGGGTGGCAGGACTCCAAGCGTCCACACCGCCCTCTGCTGCTTTCCCAGGTGTATTAGCAGAGAGCTGGGTCGGAAACAGAGCAGGCATTCCATGACGGGGCGCCTGCATCACAAGCAGTGGCTTACTTTGCTGCACCATGACACCAACCACCTATCACTTTTTGAAGACCCTTGGGATATGGCCTTAAGTATTTCTTTTATATGCTGCTCTCATTCTCTTATCATTACCTATTAAGTCTCCATTCTAGAACATAAAGCTTCAGCTCTCTTCCATGCATCTCCCCACAGCTATCCACTAAGATGTGTGATTGGAGCCAGGCAAGCTCTGTCCACAGCTGAGTCCCCAAGCACATGGTAATCACACGTCCTTCCTATTCCTGCTTCCCAGTGAATTAATATTTGTGCTCTCTTTCCATTGGCCTACCACTCTGAGTGCCGGCCACTAATTATCCCCACCATTCTCACCTTAAGTATCAACTTCCCTCCATCCTACAGAGGCTCTGTGTTCCTGCAACTGGGTCTCCTAGAATCCTGGCTCAGCTTCTGTCTACACAGGTAGCTGGGCAAGCCAGGCAGCTGGTGTGTTTGTCAGCATCATCATATCACCTGAATACCTAAGGCAGCTTGTCTACACGAAGAAGGGAGATTTACAGCCCAAGTCCTCAGCCACTGGAGATGGTGGTCTGGCTGGCCAATGTCCTTAGGGTCTCTTGGAAAGCCACCAACGCTCTGCCAAAGGCATGCCAGAAGCTTCCCAACCCCTGAGATCATTGCAGAAGACAGATTCCTGGCACTGCAGCTATCATCCTGGGATCTTCCCCACCTCCCCCCTTCCAGAGTGGATTTCCTGGTTCCTAGATTTCAGGGAACCCCTCCTGGGCTTCCTGCCAGAGGAACAGCACATTCAAAACAAACTGCTCAAGAACCTGGGTCCTGGGATCTTTACTTCCCTTGATGAGGAGTTCGCTAGGAGAATTACAGACCAGAAGCTTGGCAGGGGTCACTGGGCCACTTTGGCTGCCTTCCCAGGGGTGTTATCAGGGAGGAAACAGGATTGGAAGTGGAGCAGCACCCATATGGGTACCAGATTTACCAATGTGCCACAGCGCCAACCCCAAATCTTCTGGTTTTACTTCAGTTGTTTGAATTTCCTCCTGGCCAGCTTTGCCTCCTTGCTTAGATGAGGCCCCGTCAGCCTCTTCCCACCTTTTTCACTCCTGCCAATGTATTTTTCAACTTCAGCAGTACGCCCTTTTCTTCCTACGTTCCTTGTTCATAGTGGTTTATTCTTATCTCTAGATGCAGCGCTTTGCTCTGTCTCTTTGAAGAGATGATGACGTTTTTGTGTTTGCATCTCTCCCTGCTTCCCTGCTTGCCTCTTTCTTCTGTATCCTTCTATTCTCCATGTTACCAGCTGTCTGAACACAGTTGGGGAAACGCGCTCACCCATTTGGTTGTAAACACGAGCCACTAGAAGGCTGGATACAAGTGCTGTGGGCTGGGTATACAGCCGCTGATGGCCAAGTTGTCCGTAAGGGTCTCGTGGTCAGGCTACTTCACTGGGGACCCTGTGCTTCTTTGGTGCTTAGCAAGAACAGCATCCAGTCTGTTGCCCAAATAATCTGATTCTGGCTGCTGGCATTCTTACAGGCCCATAGGAGCCAGGTTTGGGAGATCCCCCAATATGCAAGCACTCGCTCGCCTCACCCCCCACCTTGGCAACACAGACTCCCTCCCCTGACCATCCATGGGGTTCTCAGTTCAAAGTTTCTGGCTTACACAGTGAGGAGAGAATAAGGACTTCTAACCACTTTTTCACTGCTCTCCCACCTGTTTTCCTATTTCCATCCTCTCCCCTGCCCCCCAGTGATGCCCACTGCCACCACTGCTAAGCCCCTGGTGTCTATAACATGTTGAGTGCCAGCCTGGCTTTCAGCTGCTTCTGCTTTGCGTCCGCATGCTCATCTGTCCACTGCCCACGTCCCACGGTGTCGTTCTGTTTTGAGCTATTCTCTTTGTGGGTTGCCGCCTTCCCAAGAAACCCCATTTGCCAGGACCATGGCAGCTGCCATACTGAGCCAGGGGCCGCTGAATGGTCACTACTCCCTGCTCTTTTCAGAAGCCCCCAAGGTGCTCTGTAGCTCATTTGTCTGAGCTGAACCATGATCCAACTTGGAAGCAAGCAAAACTAGACAGGGAGTTGTTCGTGGAAGGCAACAGATCCTCACCATAAATGGAAATGCTTGCCCAAGCTGTCGTAGTTGTAATCATTTTGGTTTCTTCTATAGGATGCTTCTACTCATCAAAGAAAAAATGTGGAAAAGTGGAAGGGAAAAATATTTTATTTCCTCTGTTTTGCTTCCCTAAGAATGTTTGTTCCTGTGTTGCTACACAAGAGTATGTCAGAAAGTCGATGGACAAAATAGGCTTGAAAGATGAATTCATTTGAGGGAGGTGGGATTTGAAAGCCGGTCATAGTATTTCATGGGGTGCATTTCGATGCACAGATGTTTTTAAATGTGTGCATATTTTTCTGCACAATATGTATTCTCTGTGAGCTGTTTGAAGCACCCTCCCATTCCCCACAGTGTTTTTCCTGTTGCTAGGGCGTCCGCCTTCCCAGGAAGTAGCAGCACAGGACACAGTGTCTCCTCCCTGCACCACACATGGCTCAGACATGGCCCCGAACCTCAGGGACTCCTGCTGTGGGGAGGGGCACTTGCTCACTCCTCCCTCTCCCTTCACACTGGCAGGTGTGGATGACGGTGCCGACATCCCCAGGGAGCTGGTGGTGGGCATCTATGAAAGGATACAGCAGAAAGAGCTCAAGTCCAATGAAGATCACGTCACGTATGTCACCAAGGTGGAGAAGTCCATTGTGGGCATGAAGACAGTAAGTTCCCCCACCAAGGCGGGCCAGCTTCCTCTCCCCTCTCCTGTCCTCCTTTCCTCCCAGCCTTCCGTTTTTCATTTGGACCTGTGTTTCTGCTCTGCACACACCAAGTGGTTGCCAAATGGGTCCTGTATGCCGGGCACCACCACCTGCCCTCCCTCCCAAGCCCAGCTTCCATATCGTCTCTCAGCCTTCAACTACTGTAACAGCTGAGGTGCAATGAGATGTCAAGAAGGACTTCAGGCCTAGGGCTGAAGCCTCTGGGTGGCCAGACAGAAAAATTGTGGACCCTGCCCTGGCATGGGAGCCGGGGAGGCCTAATGAGCAGAAAGTAGCCAATGGGCTCCACACCACCTTTGACCTGTCACTAGCAACGTGTGGCAAGTGTGCTTGGACTTGGAAAGTGAGCGGGTCCCAGCACCACGTAGCAATCAGCACAGGGGTACCACCTCATACACAGGTAAAGGGTATGGAGCTGCCCCCAGCTCCTCCTCCTCCCTCTGTGACTGTCTCAAAGAAACTCTGGGAGCTCCTTACCAGCCCGGATCAGCTCCTCTGCCCCACTTGGGTGGCAGCAGCCTTCTCTGCTTTGGATCCCTTTTCTCAAGGCCTTTATTTGTACCTGCTTGGCCAGGGCCTGGCTTGTTCTTACACACTGGAGTAAACGCAGGCGGTCCCTGAAACCACCCCCACTTGGCACACTTACAATTCCATACACAGTAGAGAAAGGGGAGAGGGTGTCCTAGATGCAGGCCATGGCCTGGGACTTGGGGATACCCTCAAGGTCACAGGGGGTGCAAGGCTGACAGCGGCTGGGTTTCTTTTTATTTATTTTTAATTTTAGATGATGTTAACATAGTTGATCAGAGTGGAATGGATCAAGGGTTAGGAAAACGTGGTTTGATCATTGTTTCCAAATTTTCTGCTTCTCCTTGTTTCAAAGGGGGAGGAGGAATAGGGGAGAAGCCATATCCAGCTTCCCTACCACTCCAGTACCCAGGGATGAATAATGGCCACTCAGTGTCAAGCCAAGGACCCAATGTGGCACATACTCCGAGGGTTCTGCCCAGGTGGTTTCAATAGTTCTGAAATATTGCCAACCTAGCCTATCCAAGGATGAGGGAACACTTTCAATGTCCACTGGTTGACATAGTCAATCTCAGAGTCTCTATTCACCCAGATGTTTGCTGTCAATATTTAGCTGGCGTAGTTGTCCAATTTGTTCTGTCCTCCTTCCTCTGGGATGGAACAGATGTCCCCTGCAGGGCTCGATGGGCTGCCATATCCTCCATGTGGATCTGAGCCAGCTGTCTACTACTCTATCTTTTCCATTGAGGAGGACTAGTTCTGGCAGGCAGGCTGAGGACCCTAACCAGGTGACCTGGATCCTGCCGGAACCCCCATCCCTAGGGCTCACAGATCCAGTACCCACCGTGTAGGCTGGCCAAGGAACCAGACCAGGCAGTTTGGGCCCCACCAGACCCTTCTGCCCCTGGGTCACATGGATCCAGGCCCCCCACACACACCCTGCACAGGTAGGCCAAGGACCCAGGATAGGCAAACTGGTTCCCACCAGACCCCCAACCCTGGAGGCTCAAAGGCCTGGTACCCACCGCATAGGTGAGCTGAAGACCCAGGTAAGTTGACCCAGACCCTGCCAGATACCCATCCCCCAGGGCTCATGGACCCAGACCCTCCCATCCCTGCCGATACAGGCGGATTCCCACAGGACTCTCCACCCTGAGGTTCACAGATCAGCACCCACCACACAGGTAGGCCACAGACGAAAGCCAGGCAATCTGGGCCCTGCTGGAGGCTGGATTTCTTTGTATCATCTGATGGTCTGAGATAGAAAGACAGACAAGCAGTTCTGTCTCCCCCAGAATAGTTCACTCCCCTGAGCGCACACAACTGCCATGGGTGGGCCAGGCTAAAGCCACCAGCAGAGTCTCCATCTGGGTCTTCTGTGTGGGTGGCAAGGACCTGACACTTGCCCCATCACTCCTGCCCCCTCAGGGTCCACAGGCACAGGGACATGCTGAAGCCGGGAGCCAAGAACCCAACCCGGATGTCTCCTGGTGGTTGCAGGGACCCAAGCCATGTCTGTTGCCTTCCAGGGTGCACTGGCAGAGATCTGGATCCAAAGTGCAGAAATGGGACCTAAACTAGGCCCATATAGCCAAGCATCACCCCCGCCCCCCAGAAATGATTTCACATTCCACATGCCTTTGTCTCTTCACTGCCTCCAGTATAATGAAGCCCTCCAGTTGGTTCTGTCCTGTTCCCAAGAAGTGGATGAAGGGGAAAAGGCCCTCGGTTGGAAGGGCAAAGGGGGTGGGGGACAGAGTAGAAGCCGTGCCCCCTCCCCAATCCAGTCCACTAAGCTGAGCTGTACCTCCCTCCCAGGTGCTGTCTGTGCCACACCGCCGCCTGGTCTGCTGCAGTCGCCTCTTCGAGGTGACCGACGTGAACAAGCTGCAGAAGCAGGCTGCGCATCAGAGGGAAGTCTTCCTCTTCAACGACCTGCTGGTGGTGAGTGTGGCTCCCAGGAGAGAGCTCAGCCGGAAGTGCTCTCCACTTGAGGGGAAGGGGAGGGGCCTTTGGCCTGGAGCTGCTCACCACAGCTGGGCTGTCCCGTGGCTTGGGCATTCTCTGTTGGTCATCCGGTTACAGCTGTCATGCAGGTGGAGATGAGCTGGGCCACCTACATCTCCTGAGACATGAGCTTCAGTCAGCACGCAACCGGCAGAGAGACAGACGGCCCAAGCGGGCAGGCACCTGCTCCTGCGGACCTGCCAGGGGGTGTTTACACGCACATTTCTGTGTGGGTGTGTGCTCATGTGCCTGTGTGTGCTCTTGGAAAACAAAACACACACACACACACACACACACACACACACACACACACACACACACACACACACAGAGAGAAGTTGGGGGATGGATAAAGTGGTGCCCAGGAACCTCCATCAGTGAGCCACAGCGCCTCTCCCTGGCTCCCTGAGGCACTCCAGTCTTCCCACAGAAGAATCTGTTGGTCTCCTGATAAGGGCCACCTGGCTGCCTGCTGTGGAGGGAGGCCCCTCTCTCCGTGCACTCTCCCGGGATTATCCACACCTGCTGGCCTCCCCCAGCTACCTCTGTTCCCGAGCAGCTCCTGTGAGCCTCGGCCGGCCTGGCCCTTCCTCCCCACGATCTGCTCCCGGCTTGGCTCAGGTCTCAAATCAAATGTCACCTCCCAGAGGGTCCCTCCCTGCCCGCTGAACAAGGCCTCCTGGGTGGTCCCTTTCTCCTCCGACCCTGTTTTCATCTGCCTCAAGTCCCTTGCACGATGCCAGAGGCAGCCTGTGCATCAGTCTCAACTCCCAATCAGTGAAGCAATGGATGTGTGGTGGTCCTCTGCCATCACCACAGAAATACCTGAGGGGCGAGGCTCAGCCCAGCTCGCTGACACACTCACACACACTCACTGAGGGGCGAGGCTCCCTGACACACTTTAAAAGACATATATATATATGTATATATATATATATATTTTTTTTTTTAACTGAGTTACAGAGAGAGGAGGATAGACAAGAAAGATCTTCCATCCACTGGTCCCTTCCCCAAATGGCTGCAATAGCCGGAGCTGGGCTGATCCGAAGTTGGAAGTCAGGAGCTTCTTCCAGGTCTCCCATGAGGATGCAGGTGCCCAAGCACTTGAACCATCCTAAGCTACTTTCCAAGGCCATCAGTCGGGGAGCTGGATTGGAAGTGGAGCAGCTGGGATTTGAACTAGTGACCTTATGGGATACTGGCACTGCAGGCAGAGGATTAGCTTTCCTACCGCCATGTCAGTCCCCAATGAGCGCTTTTTGTTCCACTTGTTTATAAGCTGTTTTAAGTATCTTCACATGTGGGTGGGCAGAAGGATGTGTGTGTGTGTGCAGAAACACCTTAGTATGTCACTTCATGTCCTCTGGGGTTCCTGCATCCATGTATACACACACTTGTTGGCATGAGTGTGTACCCGTTTGTCACCATCTCTCGGACAGATACTCAAACTCTGCCCTAAGAAAAAGAGCTCCTCCACGTACACTTTCTGCAAGGCAGTCGGCCTGCTGGGCGTGCAGTTTCACCTGTTTGAGAATGAGTGTAAGTCCTCGAGAGTGAATGAGTGACCCCAAGGCTTGGCGGGCTGTGGCTGGGGGAAGCAGGGGAAGGAGGCTGGGAGGTGAGGGTGGTGGAGGGGCAGGTACCCCTGTCCACTTTCACCTGGCCTCAGTCCTGATTCACTAGAGGGGGACCCGGGGTCTTGGCTTCCAGATTATTCTCATGGCATCACCCTGGTGACCCCACTGTCGGGCTCTGAGAAGAAGCAAATGCTGCATTTCTGTGCCCTGGGTTCTGACGAGATGCAGAAGTTCGTGGAGGACCTGAAGGAGTCCATTGCCGAGGTGACGGAGCTGGAGCAGGTCCGGATAGAGTGTAAGGACATGATACCCCAGGTGCCCCTCGGGCAGTGGACAGAGGTTCCTGAGGGCTCTGGGTCAGTTAAGCAGACAAGGGGATCCAGGGACACTCTATTGATGATTTAAGCTCTGGCCCTGGGGGACAGCCTGCTCTTCTGGGGACCCTTGTGGCTTCTCCAAGTATTCCATGAGGGCACACTGCTTTTCACCTGCTCAGCATTCGTGAGGCACACATGTGGGTGCAGCTCACCTGGCACTAGGGTGCATGCATGCCATTAGATATCCAAGCAAACTTAGCCTTGCCCTTGGGCCTGTGCGAGTACTGTCTGTCCTTTGTTCATTGAGAGCCCCACCCTCCATTTTATTTCCTGATTGTGCTGCCCCTGTCCCTTCCAAGGGGCCTGGCTGTGTCTCTCACTACCCTTCATTTTGGCACCATCTTTCTGTTCCTCTAGGGAATAAATGCCTAGATTCCCAACTGTCCAGATTCAGGCATTTTAGTGAGTGGTGATGGCCCACCAAGGAGCACAGCCTGAATTGCCAGATCTAAGAGTAAAATCAAAAGCAAGCACATGAGGCTGCAGGGCTTCCACGAAGGCAGGACGTGTGCCTACCGTCCCGTGCCATGCCTGTCAGCTTTCCCACTGTCCAGGGTGAGCCAACTTGTTTTCAAGGACCTGTCTACAGACCCATGGGGGCTGCTACCACAGTTATTCCAGAACCTTCTCAAGGACCCACCTGGAAATGACTTGGCTTCTGTTGCAGTCAGAGTGTCACTGATGGCTCCCCACTGACCTGCGCAAATCCCAAAACCCAGACTGACCTCCACATTGCAACAGGAGGCAGCCCCCAGAACAGGCACTCACGTCCTTCCCCCAGTGACCAGGAAACAGCAGCTGTGAGAACCCATTCCATCAGGAGGTGGATTCTTCGTCCTCTGCCTAGAGGGCAGGGAGCCCAAAAGTAGGACTAGGCCTGGGCTCTTGGTCTTCAGACCCGAGAACAAGGGCAGGGTCATTGTGAGGCACTGGCCAGGGAGGCAGGGAGCAGGAGAGATCAAGGGAGGGAAATCCCTCCTTCACGGAGCACCCACTGTGTACCAGAGCCTGTGCTGATTGCTAAGCCTGTCATTGAATGGCAGCCACTTTCTGTGACTGGAAAGTCAGAGTCCCACATCACAAATCAGGAAGCTGAGACTGATGGAGTTGAAGGGAATCGGCCCAGCTCACACGGCCTACCACCAAGCAACAGGTGCATCCGGGATCCTGGAGTTCCTGGCTCATCATTATGACACCAGGTCCTAGAAGGAGCCACTGCGAAGAGGGGCAAGCCACAGCTCAGAGCCTCAGGGCAGGGACAGGGGGTACAATTCGGAAGTTAGCATCCCTGGATCAGGCCGCCATGGGCGGTGACAGAGTATTCCTTGCCACTGTAACAACACACAGGGTCATTCCCCAGTGTAGTGAGGGAGCCAAGCTGAGGGCTGAGGGCCTGGGGCCTGGGGCCTGGGGCACACCTTCCCTGGGAGGGCTTGGGGATTGGAACAGCCAGAGACAGACTCCACACCCCCTCCTGGTGTGACCAAAGCTACTGTGCCATGTGCTTCTCGCACATCATGATCAAAACTGGAAGGTGCAGAGGCCTTGCCCTACATCCGGATACACACCTCCTCCTGCCAGCCTCTCAGGGCACTATGCAGGTGTCATGGTCTCCACATGCAGGAGAAGGAACTGCAGATCTGAGCTGGGCTCTGTGAACTGCTGCTGCTGGAGGCAGCTGTGTGGTGCAGCTCATAGCAGGAACGGAACAGGGGTAGGCCGTCCCAGCCTCCTCTGCCACTCTCCTGTTCTGCAATGACTGAACCCAGGGTTTCTCTCTGGTCACCCCAGCCTTTCCCTTCCTCAGGGGAGCTGGAGAAGCAGCGAGGAGCAAAGACACTCTCCTTCAGGTCTGGGGAATCCCAGGTGGAACCACAGTCAAAGCAAGGATCGCCTACAGGTGAGTCTGCACCTGGGACCTGGGGCCTTGCATGGGACAGCTGCCTGCCCCTTTTCTGGCCATTTCTTTCTGCTGAGGAGCTCCAGGTTTCCTATCTTTGCTTTTACATTTTTTCTTTTCCTACCATCTGAGAGGGCAGAAAGAAGCGAGTCTCCATCCACTGGCTCACTCCCACCCACAAATGTCTTGACGCTCCAGGTCAGAAGACAGGAGACAGGAACTCCTTCCATGCCTCCCACATGAGTGTTAGGAATCCCAACGACCTGGGCCATCCTTGCTGCCTGCCAAGGCCACATACTAGCAAGAAGCTGGAGTCAGGAGCCTGAGCCAGGAATTGAACCCTGATCCTCCAGCTTGGGACATTGGGCATCTTAAATGGCCTCTGAACTAGGCCAAGTGCCCACCCCTTAACTTCCTTTGTGTAGCTAACCTCATGGGCATCAATGGTGGAAGAGAGGAGAGAGCTTAGAAACAGGTACATTTTGTCAGTTGCACCAGCATTCCTGGTATGAGCCTGTGTGAAATGTCTCCATTTACCCCAAAAGAAACAGGCTGAGAGACCCTGACGTGCTGGCTTCAGGCAGGGGCAGAGTGCCAGAAGGACCTGCCCTGCCCTGCCCTTGACAATCCTTTCCCTGATGAGCCGTGAGCACTCTCTAACACCAGGTCCCCCAGGGCTGCCCTCCCCAAGTTCAGATGAGCCCCCAAACTCAGTTTCTCAGACGAGGGAGTGGATCACTGCAGACCAGGAAGGTCAGCCCTGGACTTTGCATCTCCTGGCCACTCTGCAGACTCCCCACTGCCCTACCTGCTGGTCTCCACCAGCCTCAAAGGAGAAGGAGAGATGGGGCAAGAAAGCCACCCAGAACTGTTAGCTCATGGAGTCACCCAGTCACATCTCACTGTACCGTGGAAACCTGGGAAAGCCAGGGTCACTACAAGATGCCAACCCGAGCTGATAGTTCCAGAAGGATCCCCAGCTTGAAATTCTCCCCCAGAGGGCCCTGACATCAGGCGTGGGACAGACAGCGGCGCAGAGATGGTGCCAGCTGAGACACACACAGGGCCATTTTCTTTTTTTTTTTTTAATTTGTTTATTTTTATTTAAAAAGCAGAATTATCTAGAAAGAAGGAGAAAGGGAGAAAGAAAGATCTTCCATCTGTTGGTTCATTCTCTAAATGGCCATTACAGCCGGAGCTGTGCTGGTCCAAAGCCAGAAACCAGGAGATTTCACTGTGTCACCCACATGGGTGCCAGGGTCCAAACACTTAGATCATCCCTGCTCCCTTCCCAGGCACATTAGCAGGGAGCTGAATAGGAAGTGGAGCAGCCAGAACTTGAACCAGTGCCAATATGGAGTGCCAGTGCCACAGGCAATGGCTTAGCCTAATGTGCCACGGTGTCAGACCCACGACCCATATTCTAAGCAGTCCAAAGCCTTCTATGCCAGGCAGGGATTCTTGATGTAGGGACGTCTTCCCAAACCCAGAGGGTAGTCACCTATCACAGGTGCCCATCATCCCAACCTTCTCTGATCTCCGTTTATTTCTGTACCCGGGGTGCCTGGGGCAAGCTGCTTTTCACAGCTGCCAAAGCCCCGCAGCCAATCCCCAACATTCCCAGGCTACTCTTGCAGGAAGCCACAGCCTGGTCAGGCTGGCCTGTGCTCGGAGCCTGCACATCCTCCCACAGGTGGGATATTCTGAGCCAGGGCACCTGAGCAACATCAGGGGAACTCAGGAGTGGAAAAAAAAAAGAAAAAACAAGAAGCGCCTGCTGGCGGTGTGGGGGTGGACGCTAGGACCAACTTAGCCAGGGAGAGCCCAGCAGGGTGTCCCTGCTGTCGCTCCAGGCCAGTCAGAAGGCCCTGGCAAGCCCTGACAGAGCCTTCATCAGCTCTTCTATGCAATGGATCGTGGTGTAGTTGCCGGGGTAGGAGGCTGCCCACGAGCCCTGCCCCCACCACCCCGGCCACCTTGCAGTCCACAAAGGGCACACTTGCTGGAGACCCAGAGCACGGCGGTATTACACCCCAGGCTGCATGGCAACAAAGGAGGTCTCGCTGTCCAAGCTGGCGAGGCTGTGAGGGAGGGTGGCAGGGCTGTCCACGGGCTGGTGGAGAATAAGTGCTGTGCTCTTTGCATTCAAAGCCAAGAGGGAAGCGGCTCCGGGGGAGAAGCCGGCAGAGAGCACCATGGAGGTAAGTGGAGGCCTGGTCGGCCAGGTGAGTGCTCCCAGCCCACTCAACCCTCTTCTCATCATCTCTATTGTTTCTCTTCTCAGGTATTAATCAATGCCTCCCCAGCCCGACTCACCATTTTACCAATTTCAAGAGACACAATTAACACTTACTGCTAGCATGAGTCTTGCCACCGTTCCAGTGCCCAGTCCAGCTGCAAGCACTCTATCCCCCACCTCACCCCTGAGCCCGCTGCCCTCTGGGAACCTGCTCCCACTGTGACATCACAGGGTCGGGACGGGGAGAGGGGCCTGTGAAGCCCATGTGGCCATACACCCCCCCACACACACACAGTGCTCCCCAGTACTTGTTAATTCACAGAGTATCATAGCCCTTCTTCAAATCACCGCATCTCAGAGTTACCCCTCAAGTCAAGTCCCTAAGTGGGCACACACTACACTTTTAGGCTTGTCTCCAGGAAGTTGGAGACTTGAGAGTGGAGATATGGGAGCAGCCAGGCCTCTGGACCTGGAGGTGTGCTGGCAGGGAGAGGGGAAGTAAGACAGAGCTCTCTTGATGGCTTCTGTGCCAATTGCTGCTGCATCTGGAACACATTCATGTTGGAGAGACAGGGTGCCCATGCCAAGCCACATTGAAGGCTTCGGGGTGGCAGTGGGGATAGCCAGTCCCTGCCACCAGGCCCCCAGGGATTCCTCCCCCCCCACCTCAGAAGATCCTTATGTACCCCTGTGAACGCTACCCCCTGCTCTTTCCTGGCCAGGTGTGGGTGGTGGGTGCACCAGCTACTCACACGGAGGTGCTTCAAGCTGGAGGCCCCCCATATAGGTGTGTCAGGGAAGAAGCAGCACCTCCCCTACCCCCCACCACAGCCTAAACCCTGGGAAGCAGCAGGAAGCCCCATCCCAGGGCAGGAGGAGCTCCGCTTCTCTGTCCCCATGCCCCACACAGCCGTGTCTGGAGGAGGCACCTTGACACAGAGGAGCTTCCTGCCCCAGCAGCTGACCGGCCCCCCTAGGGTGGGTATTCCAGCCCTGCCCCCTCCCCATCCTCCCACTGCTGTCTGCCTCCACCGCCCATGCTCTAGCCTTGCAGTAAACACGCCAAGTTACCAGCTGTCCAGCTTGTTCTGCCCATCCTGCCCATGCCTCAGCCTGGGCTGCCCGTCCTCCCACCCCTGGCCCAAAGGCCCTTGTGGCTCTCTGCAAGGCTGCCACCCCTCAGCTAGCTCCAGGCCCACAGGGTCCCTGCTCACCCGCTCAGGGGCGGGGAGCAGCTATAAAGCCCCTGGGCCTCCCAGCTGGACCTGAGCTCCCTCGGCCTCTGCCCTCTCTTCATTATTGCCTGGCCACACCCTTCTGGCAGGTGCTTCTCCATCTTCTCTAAGCTGTTGTGTCCATGTCCCATCTCCTCTCTCTCTCTTTTTTTTCTCTCCCTTTCCTTCATGAACAGGGAGTTGAAAAGGGAGTTTGAATGAGAGGCATTTGCTGGCCCTTCCTGCTAGTCACTTACTGAACTTGGGAAACAAATGGTCCATGTGGTGGTGGGGCCTGCAGGTGCAGGGAGGGTCGGGGAGGAGCTGGGAAGTGCTACGAAGGTGTAGGACAAGACAGAGAGCCTGGACCACAGGGAGGAGGAGCAGGACAGCTCTGGAATCCCTGGGCCCAAGCAGCCAGGCTGTGCCTAAAGAGAAAAGTCAGTGGGGTACAAGCCTGGGCTGCTGCCTCCTGGGGAAGAACCAAGGATGCCAGCAGGTGAGCAGTGGAGTCTCAACCCCCTGTAGCAGTAGCCACAGAGGTCTGCCCAGTGAGGACCATAGAGGGCACCCCTAGGCAGATATGGCCCCCAGCCTGCTCCCTGGCCGTGTGTGTGTGTGCGCGCTCTGTGATGGAAAGACAGCCAGGGGCTCTGTGGACTCTTCCTTTGCTTAGGAAGCTTCAGCCCTAGGGAATGCTGCTGAGCCTGGAGGCCAAGAAGGAAGGAGAAAGCCTACAGGTGCTGTCCACAGCTGTGGGTGGCTTGTGACTATCACTGGATAGATGAGGCCACAGGAAGCCTCGAGAGCGGCACAGCCTAGCCAGTCCCCAGGTCTGGAGATCACTTTGGACTGGGTCATCCTGGTCCATTTCCCCTGGTGCTCTGAGCAACCAGCACCAGGTGGCCCTGGACAATCAGATCCCTGCTGAGGAGCAGTCTGCAAGAAGCAAGTATCTGGCAGGGATTGCAATATGCCCTAGACACAGTGCTGGGAGCTATGAGTTGAGGGAGGGAAAGGGGCAAAAAAATCGAAATCCTGCACCTTCCAGGGTGTCCATCCTTCCTGTCTGCCCACTGCTGGCCCAAGTAGTCCAACCTGATTGGCTCTGACCCATCTGAGGGTGGGACACACAGCTCGGTCTCCGCCTTTCCCTCCTGCTGCACCCCAGGAGACAAACTAGGGCCCTCTCTGCTGACTGAACCAGGACCCAGCTTGGGTGAGAGGGGCAGCTAGGGCCTTGACTCTGCCCCCCACCCCCCAGCTCTCTGGGCTGCTATGGAATGCACAGGTCTGGCCTTGGGTTCAACCCAGAGGATGAACTGAGTAGGTCCTGGTCTTTGGGGTTCCTCGTCTTCTGAGGTTTGGATGCCTTTGTGATAGCAGCTGGGACCATGAGGTTTCCAGATTAACAAAGCTGGCTTTGAAAGGCTCAAAAATGCACTGTGTCCACACTGCCCCTCCCCACCCCCATTCCCCAGCAAGCTGGCAGGAAGGGGCAGGCCCAGTAATTCAGTTCCCAAGCTACAGTTCAGTGAGAATGAAGCAGGGCAGGTTTCACTGGCCTGGGTCACCCTGCAAGTCCACAGACTGCTGAGCTGTGTGGAGGCCTGTTCCACAGACAAGGAGGCGGTCAGAACCCAGCTTCACTCTGTGTGGACAGTCAGGAGAGAGGATCCCAGCAGAGGCTCTGACACCCGGTGGGCAGCAGGAGCCGGGAGACGGAGGGAGGCGGAGGGAGGCTCAGGGTAGCCAGAGTCGGCAGCTTGGGAAGTAGTCTTGTAACATTTCATGCTTCTCTGGCTGTTTCTAAACTAGGTGTCAATTCACAACAGGCTTCAATCGTCCCAGCACAGCTCCGGGCTGGGGGTCGAGAGGGGCGCATCGGGGCCACCACAGCCAGACCTGCAGCCTAGCCCCGCCGGAGAGCAGCCCCCGCCACCCACACCACTGATGCTGCCACTGCCGCCGCCACCGCCCACTCCCCCAGGCACCCTGGTGCAGTGCCAGCAAATCGTCAAGGTCATTGTCCTGGACAAGCCCTGCTTGGCCCGCATGGAGCCCCTGCTGAGCCAGGCCCTCTCCTGCTACACCTCGTCCTCCTCCGACTCCTGTGGTGGTGGCTCCACACCCCTGGGCGGCCCAGGATCCCCGGTCAAGGTCATCCACCAGCCTCCTCTGCCCCCGCCCCCACCGCCCTACAACCACCCTCACCAGTTCTGCCCTCCTGGCAGCTCCCTGCTACACCGGCGCCGCTACTCCAGTGGCTCCAGGAGCCTGGTGTAGACCCGGCTCCAGACTCCTGGATGTTCTAGGAGAGCCAGGGGGAAAGAGGAGAGGATGGGCAGGGCATCTGTTGCCCCTCCATAGCCGGGCACCATGCATTCCGGAGGCACCACACGTTCTGGATTGCTGATCACTGTTGTTTTTTTGGGGAAAAAGGAACCCCACCCCCACCCATCTCCAGCCCTGGTTTTGTCTGGTCTCACTGTCCTTCCCTTACACAGCTCAGTGCACACACACACATCAGTTCACATTCCTGGGCTCTACACAGCCAGACAGGACACAGCCTCCTCATGCTCTCCCCCTTGGACAAGGATCCAGGAGGAGTGAGGTTTTGTATCCACTGCACCCAGGAGCCTCACGCTAGTGGGCAGGAGCAGGGAGCCTGGTGGTTCAGCAGCAGTGCGCTGGCGTGGGCAGGGCAGGCATGGCTGAGCCCCACCAGTAGCTGCACCTTCAGCTGTCCCAGGAGGAGGGGCCGTTGGATGACAGAAGTAAAGCTGGGGCCAGTCCAGTCTTAGGACACACTCTCCTGCAGGGCATCTTTTCCTCCCCCCACCTCTCACCCCTGCTTCTCCTCCTGACTTCTCAGGAGCTGCCCGCCAGACCCCAGGGAAAAGCTTTGAGAAGGGGAGAGGGTTGGAGAGAGCGCTAGGCTCCATATGGACCCTTTCCGGGGGTTTCTCGGGTTCCTGGCCCCAGAAACAATGCCCAGCCCATGTCAGGAACACGCAGGGGAGCCAGGCTTACTCTGGGCTGCCCACTATGGAGCAGAAACTGGGGATGGGGAGAACGATGGGCCCCGTGGAGGTGAGATTCTACCTGGGCTCGGCCTCCTTTCTGTGGCCCCCAGGAATGACCTGTGTGCGGACTTGGGTAGAGAAGCAGGACACCCTCCAAGGCACCTGCTTCTCCCCTACCGCCCCTTGAGTCTCCCTCCGTCTGGAAGGTCCCAAGACCTCCCCCCACAGCAGAGGCCCCAATACCCTCAAAACTGCAGAGCCAAGCAGTGTCCGGTAGGGCGGGGGATACATGCCCCCACACAGGGGCCAGATGAGGGGCAGCCACCCTCAAAGACCCTCATAAGCAGGACTGCTGCCTGTGCCCAGCATGGGCTCCTCGGCAGGTCCAAACTCCCAGCACGTGTGCCAGCAGCTGGCACCGGCTTCTCTTGCTAAGGCTCCCCACCTTCTGCCCCGACTGGTAAGGTCCCTTGAGGGCTGTAGTCCAAAGCAGATAGTGCTTCCCCCAGCCCCTGCCTGCCCCCAGCCCACAGCACCCTGGGCCACATACGTAGGAGGCACAGATAACTCCCAGAGGTTCCAGATGACCTAGTTCCGTGTGTGTGTGTCTGTATGGTCACCCAGACGTCAGAATGATGTCACCCTGCGGGTCTATTTCTGGCTCCGTCTCTGTCAGCCCAGTTTCCTTAACGTTCGGCCAATTTGCTGTCATGCCCCCATCCCCCACCCCATCTGGCCCTCCCTGCCCTGGTTCTCCTCGCTGACCCCTTTGGGGTCTTGTGTGTCACAGGGAGATGCCGGTGAGAAGCAGGAACGGAGCATCCTACAGATGGGGCAGACAAGGGCAGGAGGCAAATAGGGGCCTGGGAGAAAGGCAAGGTGTGGGGTGGGAGCAGATGAGTAGAAGGAATTGCATACAGGGTTGAAAGGGCTGCAGAGGGAGGGACCCATCTCAGCGAGTCCAGGGCCTCATCAGTCAGCGGCTCTGCCTGCTTCAGGCTTACCAAGTGCCCGCGTCCCTCCTTGTCCCTCTCTGGTGAGGAACAGCACAGATTTTAGGGCGGACACACATGGGGGCCTCTTCCCCTGCCCTCTCTCAGCACCTGACCCACAGAATCCTCAGTGCCCCATCCCCTAAGGAGAGACGCACACACCTCTCCCAGGCCACCACTGGCCACACGAGGAGCCCAGCAGGGCGCTGGGCAGCCTGGCATCCATAGCTGCTCCCACACACTGTGCTGAAGATGGTGTCTGCTTCCCAGTTGTTGTGAGCTCTGCTGGCCGGTACACCCAGTGGCCTTGAAAAGGGGTATGTAGCTGACCCTCCCAACCGTCAAGGGAGCCCAGAGCCCCTACATGCCACCCTGCCCATCCATAACCCACAGCGCTCTGCACCGCCCAGTGGGCCCCTGCCTCTCGGCCCGCCCCCTCTACTGAGCACAGCTCTATTGGGAAGGGCCCAATAGAGCGTGATCATGGACCCTCTAGCCACGGGGTGGAGTGGTCAAGGGGTGCTGATCAAGCCCAGATCCCTCCCCCCCTCCCCCAGCCTTATTCTGGAACACCGCAGTCCTGCTCCCTCCCAGCCTAGCCATGTGGTCCAGCAAGCAAGCGTGGGAGATGAAGTGAGCTTCTGCTTCCTGCCTTGAGCCCTGAAGGCCTTGCCCTGGCAGCCTGTCTGTCCATCTTCCTGTCTGTGTGTCTGTCCCCAAAGATGTCTTGCTCCCACACACACATGTATTGGCCCTGGACCTTTGATTCCCCACCCAACTGTGCCCCCTCAGAGCCTGCAGGGTGTCCCTGATGCCCGAGGCGGCTTCCCAAACATCCATCTATCTGTCCGTCTGTCCATCCATCCCCCTGTCTGCTGTACAGACCTCTTGCTGCTCTCTTCCCATACGCACCCCCTCCCCGAAGGAGAGAAGCCTCTTTAGGGGAAGATGGGGTGTCTGCCCCCAGTGACAGATCCAAATGGCAAATATTTTGTAACAAAATAGCCCAGAGGTATTTTATCTGTTCAATTCCTAGAGTTTTAGAGACTATATTGAATTATGTCACTTGAGCCAACTGTGTCCTGAGTATCTTTCATGCCACCAGGGGAGGGGCTACCTGGGCCCAGAGCCTATCAGTGCTCAGCATACAGGAGACAGGCAGGCAGGTGCTTGCTACACTCCTCCAGCTGGGATGGCATTATCCGTTGCCCTGGCAGGCACAGCTGCGCCCTGAGTGGGAGCCAGTCTAACTAAAATAGGCCTGGCTGTTGGTGGACAGAGCTGGGGGAGCAGCATCCCGAAACGGATCCCAAGTGAATCCTGCCCAGGCCCAGCGGCCTGCACACTTGCAGAAGCAGCCAGGAGAGACTTGCCAGCCAAGATGCCTGCAGGCAGCAGTGGAGCCCCTGCAGACCCCTCCAGGCTGTCTCCCTGATCAGTAGCCTCAGGCGATTTGCTCCATGGTCCCTCCCAAGGTGCTAAAAGGAATCTGCCAGCCCCTGCCCCATAGCTGCAATGGAGGGGTGAAGATGGGTGGGGGGGAGCGTGGCTGAGAAAAGGCCTGGAGTCACACAGGGCAATTCAGCAGACCACCACCGCTACACCAGGGCAACTACTGTGTGAGAGGTCTTCTCTTGGGGCAGCAGGGGCTGAAGCGTGCCCACCTGCACCACGGTGATGCAGGAGGGAGGATGAGAGACCCCAGGGCTGCGGCAAGTGTGCCTGGCACATTCAGCATGCACAGAAGCTGGCCGCAGTGAGTGTCTGCAGCCAGGAGGCAGGCAGCTGGGCCTTCTAAACGATCTTATATCACCAAAGGCCCTGCACCTGGCCAGGATGCTGGGCATGGGACACCTGCACCAAGAGGCCCCACAGCCCTGCTGAGCAGAACTCACAGCATTGAGAAGCCAAACAGCAACACACACACACACACACACACACACACACACACACACACACACACACACACACACACACACACACACACACACACACACACACACACACACACACACACACACACACACACACACACACACACACACACACACACACACACACACACACACACACACACACACACACACACACACACACACACACACACACACACACACACCCACACACACACACACACACACACACACACACCCTTGTGCCCTGATATCACACACACACACACACACACACACACGTCCCCTTGTGCCCTGATATCACACACACACACACACACACACACACACACGTCCCCTTGTGCCCTGATCAAGGAAACAGGGACCATGACCTCCTCCTCTTCCCAGGAAATGAGAAATTCCAGAGGAAACTGGAGGTCAGCTAGGACCCATCCCATCCTGAGAATTCTCTGACCCAGGGAGCTGAAGACTGGCCCAGTCAGAGAACCCAACTCCGTCCAAGCCTGGGCAAGGGGCCTGGGACCTGGACTCCCTGCTGTCTGGATCCCTGGTGGGAAAGGATGTGAGGTAGTGGGTACTGCTCCAAACCTTCCAGTCTTGCAGGCGAGGGAGGAAGGCGTTCTGCAGGAGTCCAGGCCTCTGCCTGGGGACAGAGCTGGGGTCAGCACGTCCCCCTTTGCCGAGGAGGGGCATCACTGACCAAATGCATTCACCAGGATACGTTGACTTATAGCCGGGAGCAACGGGCCAGGTGGAGAGGCTAGAGCTGTAACTCAAGTGGTTTCAGCGGCAGCTAATGAGCACTTGCCGTGCACCAGGGCTCTGAGCTCAGTATAGGGGCTTCCCTGGGAATGCGGCAAGGGAGGAGCCGGCCAGGGGAGAGGGTAGGAGGCAGCAAAGGCAGGGCGGACTGTATCCACACAGGATGTTCAGGGCAGGTCTCCACAAGGTGCAGGGCAGGTCTCCACAAGGTGCGGGGCAGGTGTGAGAGCAGGTGGACAGGTCAGGGTCACATTAGCATCATTGCGGCATGGGACAAGCCAGCATTTTGAGGCGGGAGCCAGGGCAATCTGCCAATAGTGTGTGGATTTACTCACATGAAAAAAAAAAAAAACTTTATGGAAGAAGTCTTGCAATCGGTCTTCTAGAAAACACGGGACAGGTGGTCACAAACAAAGCCAAGAAGAGGGTTGCAAGGGCACAGTCAGGAAAGGGGGTCGAGGAGGAAGCAGGCAGCAGAATACACAGCAGTGGCAACACAGGGCCGAATTGCTGCCAGGCCGGTGGGCCACACTCTGGCTGCCTCTTTTCCTGGCTCCCCAAGCCTGATACGATGGACACACGGCCCCCTGGGA